TAATTATGCTGTGATGATGGCTTAATTAGAAGTTGAGCAATATATGACACTTTCAATTGTTAATTCTTGTAGATGCCATCTGTAGTCAATTTGAAGAGGTGTTTATATCTTAATAATAGTTAATTATTAAAACAACTTGCAATATTACCTTTTTATAAGCTGTTAATGTTGCTAAATTAGCATCAGCATTAGCTGTAAAAAGTAAAAATAAGATGAATCAGTGAACCTTTTCTTTGGCATGGTACTGTACATGCTGTGGGTGTTCTGGATCATCATAAGTGCCAGTTAACTGCTGAAAATAATTGCTGGTAAATAGTTCTTGTCTGTCAGTTACAGCATGTTATGATAGGAGATCACCACCCCCCCCCCCCCCCCCCCCCCCCCCCCCCCCCTCTCCCCCTTCCATTACAACTCTCCTGGATTTATCATTGATAAATTAATTTTTTCTTACCGACACCAAAACAAGAGCAAAACACTCTCACGACATAAGAAAAAAATACATAAACTTGCACACTCCAAATTGAAAAATTGCTGTCAGGTTAAAAAGATTCAGTTATTGAAGCTAGACCAATGGGTGTTCTGTAGGTATATGCATGTAAAGCTACTGTACTCATATCGCGGTTTGGTACTCCTGAACATTGCTTCAAATTACCAAACAAAGCATTGCRCACTCTTCATGTATGTATGTGTATGCAAACATTAGAATACCACCCTTGCTCTCAGCTTCGATGATTTTCAACCCATCAAGGTTTTCAATTTGGTGTAACAATATATATTCAATTGCTACTAAGGAGGGAAGGGTAGGGAAAAGTCAAAAGTGACAAAAGCATGCTGCACAAAATGGAACAGAGTGCCTTATCGATAGAGTTGAATGCATATTCATGTTTCTCATTTTTAGAGAGTAGTGAGCCTGTATCTAGCCATACTTGAGTCTTCCTGTAGCTGTGTGACAAGTGTTTCCAGTTGTACCCTCAGTCTGTGTTCCTTGTYGTATTCCTGTCTTGCCATGGCAGACTCTTTTTTCAATCCATCACACTCCATGCCAATTGTCTGTACTTCATTTCTTTCTGTTTCAACCAAGTTTTCCATATCATTTACTCTAGCCAGCAATGACTTGTGAGAGTTTTCTAGACTACTTCTTAGTTCTCTTTCATGAGACAGCTCTTCCTTCAGCTGAAAAGATGATGAGTGTTTAACTTTGAATATCTACACTTATTCAAGAATGATAGAACAAAGGCCAGTAAATAGAGCATTTCTTAGTATGACTGACAAWAACTCATGGCATGAACATGGTYRTGACATGGCAAGGCATAAACAASACTAATCMCCAARCTCAAAATTTTACTCTTCATCCATGATTAAATATTTAAARCATGGCTGCATGAACACAGCATGGACACTGTCATGCCAAGGTCACAGCACTTTTCAAATATGCCAGACCAATTACATTATGTGAGRGGGGAAAACGCCAATCAAAATTCTAGAAAACATCAGGGCCATATGGCAAGGCCAGGCATGCATATGGCACCAAGCTTTCCACAGTCATACAAAAACTATTTTAGATGGGWGAAAACTAACAGCTGATCAATAGGTGACCATTAAATGTGACGAGTCGGGAGGACAGATCTAAGAAGCATTTGCATCGATGGACATTTGCAAATATTTTGCTGGACATTATTTATTTATTTTTTTGTTTATTGATGGCCGTTTTTTTAAAAGTTTCGAATAAGTTAAATAAAAATTTGTGCTCACAGATCACACATGCATTAGTGTCTTGGCATGATGATTCATGGTAAACACAACACATGCAGCAATCAATATTGAAAAGTTGAGCCAAATGCAAAAGGTTGCTATAACAAACATAAATAGTTCCCTGAGTCTCTGGCATTTCATTGAGCTCAATACATTCATTAATATGATAATAGATTTTTAAGGCACTCATTTTGTCATCAGAGAGAGGGAGAGGAATAAATTGCTAGTTAGTTGCAAGTAGCATGAGGCATCACTTTTCCATTTGCAAAGGTACACTCTCAATATATTCATGCAGCCACATATGAATAGAATGTTAAATAGCAGATATTGCAATTACGATCAAATTACATTYAAAAAAWTYGCYTTAAGTSAAGGCATTTGGGTCAGTTTATGTACATTTACTGTATTGYTGACCCAAGTGTCTCTACTTGAAACAATTGTTTTGAATCCAATTTTTGTGGGGGCATGTTACTCCATAGTCACCATGTTGGTTGTCGATAACAAAACATATCTCTTTATCTTCTCTTGTTAGATCAACCAACATGGGGGGATGTTTCATTGTAATTTATATCTCAAGGGATTTTAAGCAGTCACGTGGTTTCACTCTAAGAAAAGGATGAAATTTCGTCGCTATTATCAATACAATACTTTTCACAAATATTACCAAATTACCTCATTAACTTTTTTGGTCAACTTCTGTTTAATACTTTTTGATTCTTCCAGTTTAACCTTCGCCTCTGCATTAAACACTGAAGTCTTGTCTAGAGTCGTGTTGACACGAGATAAATTTTCTTTAAGTTCATCCCTTTCTATTGAGATTGCTTGCAGCTCCTTCCTACATCGTGACAACTCTTTCTCAAGTGTCTTTATTTCTTTRTCATAAGTGTCTTTAGGTATAGATACGTGCTTTTCTTTGTTTAGTGAAGTTAGTTCTCGTTCAGCTTGCAGACTACACATCGCTAACTTCAAAGACTGAATTGTACTTTCAGCACGACAAACACGCGAGACCATTCGTTCATAATTCTTCTGTAAAGCCTCCATTTGTGGAGAATCCGAAATATTAGGTTTAAAGGGAGAAATAGGCTCGATCCTGCCAGTGACACTGTCCTYTTGCTCGTGTTTTTCTTTGGTAAATCCATAGTCAGACAGTTGGTCAACAAGTTTTTTCGTTTCTTCTTCAGCCATTAAGATTCGTTTTTGCATCACTTCTAACGTGTGATCCGGTGAAGAACTATGACAAAAGGCAGGTGAAATTACCGGTCGATTCATATTCGCTGCGCTACCTTGTACTTTGACAATACTATGACAATAATAAAGGTTTCTTTATAGACATTCTTTGTTGTGGTTTATTTGGCTCCTCGGCCGCCATTTTGGAAATACCGCCAACAGACTCTGTACCAACCAATCACAGGCCACCTGTCATTATGTTACTGCTGACCAAAAAAATATAAACACAGGAAGCCCAAGCAAGGTATCTTTGCATGCTTGTATTATAATTTTTTCTTTTTCTTTTTCTTTTTCTTTCTTCCCATCTTTTTGATGATTTTATGGTTTTTTTTCCAGATAAGATAAATTACCTCCCTCTTGGATGGGCAAAAAGCCAGCATTGCCCCCTCCCTGCTTCCCAAGTATCCACTCACCAAAAAAGATATTATATTTGTTCATTTTGGTTTATGACTGAAAAGTCTCAAGTGGTTTTTTTTTTTTGTTATTTTCTAAATTTTACACAGGGACTGTTCATGAGTGGTATTGGCTTCATCCAAACATCTCCAGCGGCAGAGTGGTTTTGAACTGAGGGAATGAGATTGATTTCATATGTGTTACAATGGGCTATTGCTAACCAATTGTAATAAAGGATAAGGTCATTTGCCATGGGTCTTTCTTGGTGTTGCAAGATGTATTGTATTCTGGGTAGCTGTTCTCTGTTGGCAGGGTATCATTTATAACTCCAAACTCATTTACCTTGGCTATTGTCCCAATTGAGTGCCCTGCAACACCATAAAAGAGCTGGCCATTTCCCTCTCAAGGGATTTAATGGATTTTGTGAGAGTTTCCAGATGGAATTGCAGTCTAACACCCTCCCCCCTTTTATCTTCAATTGCAGCTACAGTGCATTTCTTGTTGACCTTTAATACAGGAAACATTTGGCATTATAGAGAGGTGGAGGTAGTTGCAGAAAACTTTGGTTTTAGATGAATCTCTAATAATTGGAGTCTGCAAACCCTCAGCTCTAAAGGAACCTCTATAACTAACCAAAAGGGGACACACACCCTAAATCCATTCATTGGGTGGGGAATATGCCAGGGGGAGTACTCTAGGATGTGCCGCTGAGCCCTCTGAACCCTGTCCCTGTTCCAGAGTAGAATAGCTGAAAACCATACCCTGTTTGGCAGCACTTACCTGTATAGCAAAAATAGGGGAGTAGGGGAGTACACCAAACACCCCCCCCCCCCCCACCACCTTGGGTGTTTATGTCCCATAAAGGAGGGGAGGGAAAAGAGAGGGACACAACATAGCTTTAAAAAATGTTTGTCTCAAATATTATTTATTACCAAAGTCAAGTACAATCATTSTTTTCCAAGCCCTTGTTCGTCGCGGTTTAGAACATCCTTCCATCGTTTCGCTATGCGAGGTTTCCACACCTCAACACGAATTTTCATAGGAATGTTTACATTGTCTCTAACAGCAATRTTAACAGTATAATCCCCGAATGATGTCATGGGCTCACTTAAATCAATACAATGTGGCGGTACAACTAGTTGATGTTGTCTTTCGTACTCTAAAGAAATCTGGTGATCATCAATACTGAACTCTGTTCCATCCTTTCTTTCTACTTTCAATCTCAAATGCTTCAAAAATCGTAGAAAACGGCTTGAAACTTGAGCTTCAGGATCAATMTCTGAGGCTTCTTCAGATGAAACCAGGTACTTTTGGATATTTTCTTTRGTTGGATATGCCGCTTTACCTTGAGGAATCAAAAAATTTCGAGCAAATCCACGTTCAACACCAACCATTTGACCTCGATTCCCCAGACCTTCAATCGGTTCCTTCAAGATGACAGAGAATTTTGGCTTCCTATTGGGCTTTTTCTTGCTCGGTTTCCACTTAAATTGGTCCATTTTGCCCATAGATCTTGCACATAGTCTTGTTAGAGGCTGAATACCTAATAATTGTCGAGATATCTGGAACATTTTGAGCAAAACTTTTTTTAAACTTTCAACATGTGCAAAAAAAAACAAGATGGTGGCTTTAGAACCCAGTCCCTTGGCTGAGTAAACTGACTATCAATGTGAACTTGTTTCTGATTGGCGTAAATCTTCAAGGAAATAATAATTTAATTTGGACAAGCAAAAAGGATTAGAAGCGGTGCCAGGAAAATAAGAATAACAGTATTCGTAGAAAATGATATAATCTTTGTAAATCAGYTGATTTTCTTAGTAAATGCTGGGCAAACAAAATGAAAGCCCAAGCCCACCCCAGAAAGTATTTTTGTCGTACGTTAACATTGGCCAATCAAAATGTCACTACTATACTGTTTGACAAATACATCATCCATTTACAGTCGAGTCCTCGAGTCTCGCGGAAATGGCACAGTAAGCTAAAGATAAAAGAAGACTTTGTTGTTAAAAATTGCCGATGAAAAATGCCGTCTAACCTCCTAGAGTTTGTTTTAGGAGCAACAGCAG